CAGCCAGTCGAGCCGTCGGTAACTGCAATTCAAGGCAAATCAAATGAAGCATAATCGCAGTTGGAGCGATGTTTGTGTCTCGAAGGAGGTCTAATTCAGATAATAAATCAGTCGTCCTCTCGTTAGGTACTACAAGGGGGTCGTTGCTGGTCACCCCGGCCATAGTCAATGTGCCGAGGATCAAACCAAGAAGATAATTCAATAAGTATTCAGTCTTCAAACAGAATACCGAAGTGAAGCCATAATTTTATAAAATGAATTTTCGAAGATTTTATATCGTTCGAAATTATACAAGCTGATGTGTACTATCAGGCCGAGAGTCGGGGCTCTGGCGAGACTGATTCACAAGGCATTCTGCGGTTGAATCAATTCGGACTGAATTAAGCCTGAATCACCTACTCTGATAAATTCCGAGTCCTTGGTTCTAACATTATCCATTTGGATCAGTAAAGGTCACATTCTTGAACTTCCCCACAACTGAGATTAATTGAGGTTTCTTTTTATATAGGGAATATTTATAGGTAGTCATCCCTAAGCAAGTACGCCTGAAATTGATATGAATTTCAAAGTTTCTGTGGAATCTGCAAAAGTAAGGTCCTCAGAGTAGAAAGCCCTGCCAACTCACATGTAAACTAATGCGCTGCACTGATGACTTTGTTATTCTTCCACCGCATGAGAAGCGTGGTTCGAATCCCGCTCTGTCCCATAAGTCTTTATCGAACCTTTTAGTGAAATGTTATTTCCCTTCTACTTGAACGATTTCAAGACAATTTCAAGTAGTAAACATAAGGGCTTGTTTGGCAAAAGTTTTCAAGTAACATGTACTGGTATATTTTCCCCTTATAAGGAAGTTGTAATATTTTTTCAACAGCATCTCCTACTTGGAAAATTTGTGATATGTACCGGTACATGTTACTTGGAAACTTTTGCCGAACGGACCCTAAATGATTTTCAGATTTTCATTTCAAGTTCAAGACCTAAAAATTTGAAATTGAATCGAGTAGATTCAATCAGCACTTGCTTCAAGCTGCTGCATCCGGAGGAGCTGTGTAGCCTACCTACCTGCTGACTTTTGTTGACTGCATGAAAAGCGTGGTTCGAATCTTGCTCTGTCCCTGACGGTGTTTTTTTTCTGCGTATTTACTTACGAGGACTGTTTGTTTAGGCTCACTTGTTTCTAATAAATTCGAAGAAAAATACGGGAGACAACGAACGAACAAACGAACGTCGATGGGCTTTTGCTAGATATACAATGTCTACAGATGTCACTAGCGGGCTTACAGCTCCTAGGAATTACTGCTAGTTAGAATGTGGGTATAGGTGTCATATATAGTGGTCATTGCATGTATCCAATGTGGCCTTTCACTTCTGGCAGATCTACCCCAGACTCTGGGCTGGGAAGCTCGTCTGCATTTTGGGGTGAGGAGCCCGGGAAAGACGATGTATGAGCTGCGCATCGGGATGCTTCCTGGTCCCAGTGTCCAGATCTTGAGATAATTCCAGTTAATAGATTCCTCCTCCTCCCCTCCAGTTCAATTCAAATGAAGTGATGCCGCAGAACGATGCTTAGGCAGTGCTTGTCCTGAAGTAAAGTCCTTTTTCAAGAATAAACCAGTCATCCTCTCGTTAGGTATCACAAAGGGACAACGAGCTGTCGCTAGTCGCATTAGCCACAATGAGAATCACTTTGAGCAGGAACAGGTATTCCTGTCAAGAATACTGATTGGAATATTGAGGCAATTCAGTAACTGAATAGGATCAGTATCTCCTTACGGTATCCTAACTCGGAATACCTGTTCATATCCGCAGTGAATCAAACTAAAGAGATAAGTCAATAATTTAATTATTTATTCGAATTTCAGTGGAAAAACAGAATAATACAAAGCGAAGTCATAATTTTAAAGAAACGAAGTATTTAAATCAAAAAATTTCTCGAAAAACTTATGAATATCATTCGAAATTACATTCAGCCCATACGTACTATCAGACCGAGATTTGCAGCCCACACTGGCGCTGTTCAAGCTCGATCCAGTATCGGTTCTGCCTTTCTGCTTCCATTTCAACCTATAAACCTTGGATTCAGAACTAACGCTAAGTATGCATTCAATACATACTAGCCTTTATATCTGATTGCAATTTGAGTATCTGGATATGCAACTCGGCAATGCTCCAGAATCGCCACTTCAAGAAAATAAAATATGCTTTGCAGAGTGAGGGACGGGTGTGAAGTGTTTGTAAACGTAATGAAGATATCTTGCTTCGTATCCTGGTAGTCGAAGGATAGAATATGTCAAAACAATTTGATGCTGGTTGAGGAGAGGGTTTACTTACTCGATGATTCTTGTATGGTACACCCGAGCATTTAGAACAAGTTCATCGTTTACTGCAGACCTAAGTAGGTCATGAACTTTGTTCAAGCAAAATTCGAGCTTCTTCGACGAGACGCAAGGGAAGAAGAAACGAAACGCCATGACCATGAGGAGAAGGATGAAGAACATCCATACAAGAACCCTGATCGCTGACAGGTTACAGGCGTCAACGACAGCCACAGGAACGTCGAGTGAATTGCCACTATGCGCAATCTGGGGTGGATTGGTAGGGGATACATTACGCTGGAGACGATCCTGGGATTTATCAATCTATGGCTATCGATCGGAAAAAAAATGTTTACTTACAAAGGTGATTTTCGGACTTTTGTGATCTTCCACTATACGAGGTTCAATACACCCATAAAGGCTTTGTAAAGTGATTCTCACCCTTTGTTGGAGTGAATATGTCAAGGAAGTGAGGCTACAACCTTCTGAAAGAACGTCCTGCTCACTATGTTTGTACTAGAGGATGAGATAAGTGAAAGCAAACTTTATAAGGAGAAGATAGTGGGGAGTTGGGTATCAGGCGGAGTTCTTATGCATATATAGTGCCAGGCTTATCCACTCAGTCTACATTCATACATTAAGGTCGCTCAATCGTCCCATTTTTGGTCCATTTTCGACGTTCATTTTTGCGTCATTTTTGGATTTGAGTGTCTTTTGATAAAAATGAAATAAAAAATGAAGCAAAAATGGAGTGCCTTGAGCACCCCCTACCCCGTTTTTTGAAAAATGAACGAAAAATGAAACTTGTGCCGTCTTTTTGGCTCAGGAACAGCGTTACCCGTGTCTCGGAAGCTCAACGGCACCACTTCCAAGTCCCCGGATTCCACCGAGCGGAAACCAAAGTTGATAAAAATGAAAATGGTCATAAAAAATGATTTCATGTCGCCATTTTTTGGGCTCCATTTTTGCAATTTTCATTTTTGTGACATGGATGTAATGCTAACCCTAACCCTAGTTTGTCAAAAATGAAACCAAGAATGAAACCGAAAATGAACTCAAAAATGGGAGGTCTGAGCAGCGCTATTAACTCTAGTTCGCCCAACATACATACCTCTGATGTTATACGGGTCCATGGCTTTGATGGTCCTTTAGTATCAATCTTACCGCAATTCTACATAGTTCTATCTACGGGTCCATGGCCCTTCCGTCAATCTTACCGCAATCCTATATAGTTCTATCTACTGGGTCCGTGGCTTGGATGCTCCTTCTATCAATCTTAACGCAATCCTATATATTCTATTAATGATTTTGACACCTTCGACCAACTGGTGTAACAGCTCTGGCCCTGATTTTGATGGGGTTCCAACTCACAGAAGCATCTATATCTGGCTAATGCATAAACCAACAGTCTTTCGTGGAGGGTCGTGGAAAATGTGATTCTAGTATTACTGCCCATCTGTCTATCATTTTGTGTATGTTGGCACTTGACTCTTGAGGTATATCCGTGAGCACATTCTAGAAATGATTTCAAACTGTGAAACTGAAACTGGTGAAGGGTAGAAGTCGGGCACTCTGGAGTCGACAGAACCCTGCGAACTCTGTAAATTAAGACAGGTAGCATGCTGCATATGTGGTTAACATTGCGCTGCATTTAAGTATAACATATGCTGTCCAAAGTGCACAATAATTCAAGTTACCCGTTTTCATTCAATGCCACACCCGTTTTCATTGATTTTGGTCAGTCCCTGTTTTCAGCAAGGATTGTACATCACAATAAGGCCTCTTTCCCCCTTCCAACTGTGATATTCTAGCTCTAAAATGATTTCTACACAACAATATTTGGCTATCTGAGCAATGAAGGCCCTGGAAGATGGACTTCGAGGAGTAAGAAGTTGTAGATAATGCTAAGTGCAATTATCTTATCTCGCATAGATATCTTTTCTTGTTATCTCAACTAATCTTATCTTATTTCATTACACAATGGCTATTACTACCTCTCTTCCTCCTCATTTACAGATGAATTCCACCTTTCATGGATGCTTTTATGGCTCAGAAAGATTATTATATACCATATCTAGCTGGGAACAACACATATGAGGAGCCTTGAAGCGAGGGGATGTCTTATCCGTTACCACTTTTCGCTGAAAACGGGTGTTGGTCTCAATGAAAACGGGTAATACTATAATTGAAACCGGGTATGACTTCAATGAAAACGGATGGGAATTAATGTGCAAATGGACCAGCATAATAACATGCAACAAAAGGGCACAGCTTCTGGGCCACCAAGCCCGAATACTGCCTTTTGCATTTGAATTATCTGCAGAAGCTTTAGTATTTATTTTTCCGTTCAGTTTGGATGGGCTGCTCCCGTCATTGACCATGAAGTCTTTGAGTAGAGGCCTAGTCTGCCTAGGGGAGACTAGGATACATCTGCAACGGGTTTTTTGAATGGCTTCACCTACTTTAGAAGGAAGAATCAATTTATTCTTGTCCTTCTATGCATTATACAAAAGAAGTTAGACCAACTTGGAAAAGGATTATTGATGAACAGATTACTATATTGAAGAACAAGAGGTCTTTTGTCGCTATTAATGATCCCTCATGACGTATATTCTAGAAATGATTTCAAGATTGGAAGTCTCTCAGCGGAATACAACGAGACCTCGCCAACTCCTCTATAAGTTAGGACGGATAGCATATACGGTTAATGCGCTGCACTGATAACTTTATCTCAATTGTTCCGCCGCATGAGAAGCGTGGTTCGAATCCCGCTCTGTCCCATAGGTTGTAACGTACAGCTTTTGCTACTGGTCCCCTGGGATTATTTGTTATTTTGCAAGTTTATGAAATTTGAAGATGTAATCAAACTCGAACGAATGTCGATTGGATACACAGTACATAATATAATACATACTACTTGCATGCAAACCATTGGGAAAAGGAAAAGGAGCGTCATAAATTCGTTCATGTACGTTGAAAATCAAGCTGTCATTAGAAAGAAAGACAGTAAGAAAGGTGAAAGCGGAATCCATTCAAGGGAAGAATACAATCATAAAGCACAGCGTATATAGTACATACAACAAGTGCATTGCAATGATAACAAGGAAAACAGACAGAGAGAAGAAAAAATCTATAAAGCGATCATAAGCAAGCAAATAGCGGAGGGCGGAGGGTACATCATCGATAATAGACTCGGACGAGGGAAAGAGGAAAAGCGAGAGTAGCGCGAAACAGAAAGGGTTACACCTTCCTGTCAACCATATCTCTAACGACGACCCAATCATCCGAGTTTCTGTGTCTCGGAGTGTCGATTTCGTTTTCACGTACCGGTCGCTCTCTTTCGTCCGAGTCATCACCATCTCTATACCCTCCCCCTCCAACTCCCTAACCAGCCCTCGAAGTCCTCCCACTCCTTCCACTCCTCGCACTCCTCGCCTCTGCGTCCGTCCAATCATTATCCTCTTCATCCGTAGTCAAAGTTTCCACCGTCGCCGCTCTCGAGTTCCTCGGTCTCCTAGTCCCACCAGTAGCCGTCGTAGTAGCCGACGCATACGAAGCCATCGACGGAGGTCTTGAAGAAGTCGGAGAAGTCGGCACAGCGTCACCTCCTACTCCTCCTCTAACTCTATCCGGTGGATTCTGCCCTCTACTCTGCGCTCTCGAATGCGAAGAGCGATGTCCATGATGCCCATGTCGCTCCCTATCCCTCGCTTCCCTATCTCTAATCCTCTGTTCCGCCATTGCCTGTCTCTCCCTATCAATCCTATCATGCTCTTCCTGCATTCCTCTCTGCCTATCCTCATGTATCCTCGCTTCTTCGGGGGTCATAGGGTAGGTGGTTACATTACACCACTCATACGTGCACCAAGGGAGACCTTCACCTCTCTTTCCTGTCCCAGCACCTCCTCCAGGATCACCACCACTCCGTCGAAGAGCGACAGCAGCGCCTATCTCACGCATCCCATCTACTTCTCTCAGACCACCCCAGCATCCTTCAGGTCCCAATAAATCAAGTCTACGCATCCCTTCACCGAGCGCACCACCAGGAACACCAGGGACTCTGCTCCGATTTGCTCGATAGGCTTTAGCGACTATATCCTTCCTCTCTCTTCTCAGCATCTCGAATACAGTAGCTGAAGTCCTAGAATAAAGTGAACCAGAGAGGGCTTCAACGACATCTCCACATGTCACGCCCTCTTCTGGAATCGACGCGCGGACAGTGATGAAGAATCCTGGAAGATCTGGGGCTGATCGTGCAGTGGGGATAAGAGTGAGAGATGATACGCGGGGAAAGGTAGCTGGATCTCCTCTACCACGGGACCAGGATACGTGTGGGGGATCGTCAGAGCGTTGACACATTGCGCTGCTGAACAACAGGTTCCATTTGAGGTAAGGCTCGTTTTCGTCATCGGAAGGAGGGTGTAGGAGGGGATGAAGCATGGGGAGTACACCGAGAACGGAGAGTTCGAGTGGGGATAAGACGGGGCCGTATGAAGGACCTGGGGTAAATGGGGGAACGCGATCGCCTGTAGAGCCGGTTAGACGAGAAGATGGATGGAGAGAGTGGAGAGTTTCTGTGAGAGTTTGGAAGGAGAATGGGTCGGGGGCGCTAGCTGGAGGTGCACCGGGTGTTCCTCCTCCTCCTGGAGGCATTCCCATACCCATACCCATTCCACCTCCTCCTGGCATACCCATACCAGGCATTCCACCCATAGGAGGACCTCCCATTCCAGGCATACCACCACCACCGTACCCGCCCATTGGGCCTCCCATACCTGGCATACCCATTTGAGGAGGAGGGGGACCGCCCATTCCTGGCATGCCCATACCTCCCATACCTCCCATGCCAGGCATTCCACCCATCGGAGGACCTCCCATTCCAGGCATACCACCTCCATATCCGCCCATACCCATTCCTCCAGGCATATTCATACCACCTCCCATATACGGCGTCATATTCTGCGGTTGCATTCCCCAAGGTGAAGATTGTGGTGCATGATAAGGTGTTCCCATCGGTGGGTATCCCCCTCCTCCTCCCATTCCTCCTCCCATTCCCATTCCGCCTCCCATGCCTCCTCCCATTCCGCCTCCCATTCCCATTCCACCGCCTCCAGATCCAGGCAGAGCACCAGGCAGAGCAACAGGCGTATTCGTCCAAGGCGTAGGTGCGAAATTAGGGTATCCTACAAACTCTGCAGAGACGTTTGGTGCGTGGGGGGTTCCAGGCATTCCTCCTCCTGGAGGGATAAACCCAGGCGTTGTATATGGAGAATTGGGGACGTGTGATTGGGGAAGAGGTGTGGATTGTGGACCGCCGGGGGTTCCAGCTGAAGAGGGGGTTCGGAGGGGGGGAATAAATAGACCACCGTCGGCCATTTTTGCACTTTTTTGGAAGAGAAGATTGGGGGATGACTCGAAGATGAGTCGACGATAAAAGAAGAGACGCGTGAGCACGTGTATTACACGTGGGTTCATCGATGACTCGGTACTGCTAGAATAGTAAGAATACCAAAAGATCTTTCAATTCTTTTATAGGGACAGAGCGGGACTCGAACCACGCTTCTCATGCGGTGAAAATCAACGATTGTTCTAAAGTGCAGCGCATTAACCAGTTATGCTACCCGTCCTAGTATAACGCGTGTACGACTCGAACAACTGTAATTCTAAGCAGAGCAGAAGAGTGGAATTTGAATTTGAACGCCACGTGTCACACCGATTCTTGTTTCCTTCCACCATCATCTTCTACTACGTACTCGTGGTATCGACGGTTCTCAGTTAGACTTACGTTCGAGTAAAGTCTTGATTCAGAGCTTCCAACGTGACTCAGAGGAGCTCTTGAACCCCTTCCCGCTATCAGCCTCAAGGCTACCACAACCCATCAAGTTTTCTAGTATCTCTCCCATCTTCAACTTGTGTCCCGACGTTTTTCGCTTGGAATCGTATTACACTGTCAAATGCAAGTAGACGACAACGGATCATGCGAAAGTTACCAAGGACTTATTTTACTGACAATGTTCTGAAAGCTACTCATCTTATTTCTTCGCCCGCCAAACTTGCCAGCTTCTTTCAAAACATTAATAAAATGCGATTAGGCTTGTATGCCCTGAGATAAGGCAATACTGCAATGTCGATTTTCATTCAAGTAAACTTTTTATTAGCAGACACCGTAGCTAAGCCACTGCTCAGAGTATTTTCACTCGTGGTCAATAATCCTGAGACAATCGTAGAATTTACGAATACATAACGGAGCGTTCGTCCGACGGTTCTTGTACCTGAAGCCTCCTTAGGTATGCCCAATCAGCCCTCGATAGTTCATCATTCATCAAGCATCCAGTACCACGTTAAACTGACAAGTTTACCGGCAATACCGGTTTACCAACATATCCAAACTCTCCAATATGGAACCGACATTTCCTTCAAAGTTTCCCGATATACTTCGCTTGATATGCTCTATCGCTGGTAGCCGCAGTAGTGTCGCGACTTGGACTCTCAAAATCTCTCTTCAAATTCAAAGTCTAGCACATGTTGAACTGTCGAGGCCAGACTCAAGCATACAATGTAAACAAGTAGAGAACAATAAATTTGCATAGTAATTCAAACTGTAATCAATACACATACCGTAGAGACAGTCGCAAAATGTGATTCAGTCTACCTTATGGGAAAAAAAAGAAAACAAAAGCAATCGAGTAAGGGACAGAGCGGGACTCGAACCACGCTTCTCATGCGGTGTAAATCGTTATGATTGTTCAAAAGTGCAGCGCATTAACCAGTTATGCTACCCGTCCTAGTATAAGTAGGTGTATGACTTGGATAAATGTAATACTGCAGTGCAAAGAGCGAATCTCAGATACGTCGTAATTTGGAATTTGAGTCAACATGCTCTTCCACCATCTTAAGCACACTTTTGGTTCTAGTATTCTCGGTCAAAAAGCTTCTTGAGCAGAGGTGACTCGGAGCTTTGAATGTGACTTTGATGAACTCTTAAATTCAGCCTCCGAGAAGGTTACTGCAATTCGTTAAGACTTTTCTTCCGGTGCTCTTGGTCCGTCAGCCCATGAAATTAAGGCACACGGACTGATAATGCGAGGACAAAAGCCAAATCATTTCAAGTGTCTTTCCTACCACTACAATTGCTCCACATTCTTGGAATTCAACAACCAAAATAGGGGATCTCAATTCTTCATTGCCAGTTTCTTTAAAGGTATATATAAGAGCGGTAAAATGCGATTACGGTCGTGTATTGTCCTTATTACACTGAGATTGAGATCAGGCTACAATACTTGGTTGTTTTTTTTTTTTTTGCTCCTAAGATTCACTTCCTAAAGTTTTTTTTTCATAGATTCTGTCACCACCGCTCTGGCTATTCTCAACTCTTGTTTAGATGTTTCATGGATCCTACAAGTACGTGCCCTGCTAATCAACAAAGCACTCATCCGGTGATTTTTGTATCTGGAAATCTCTGCTCGATCAGAGTCATCATTCATATCTTTACCAGCAACACCTATTTACGAATAAAACTGAAACCTTCGAGCGCGACTGTGCTTTATGATTTCCCGGCACGCTTTGATTGCTAACCTTTTCTTTGACGCGTTCTCAATGTAACTCACCCATGCCCATGTTAAGCCGGGAGCCCTGCATTCATAGTAATTAAGTAGTAGGCGAGAAAAGGACGCGCGCAGCCGTTCAAGGCAATCGAGCTGTTCTAAGCATCTTAATGAATAAATACTCAGAGGGCAGGCCTATGTTCATTCCCGCCCGTTCACATACTGTGGAATGTTTGTTGCGGTGATAACTGCCGGAATTCACTAGTCTCTTAGTTGGTAAAGTCAGGGAAGCATGATTAACCCACTTAGCTCCTAGACTCCTTAGTGGAAGCAGTTACGAACACCATGTCTCATTGGTTGATAGGTTCACAAAGCTACATCAGCAAATTCACAACCCAGTAGGAGCAGTAGGGCCGTAGGAAGTCACAAATTCCTACAGTCCTACTGGCTCCTACAACTTCCCAGGCTCCTACAACAATTACAACTCCTACTGGAATGAGGATTAAATGTCGAAATAATTACTTTTAGAAATTTAATGAAGACATCAGTGAACATTTTTTGAGTTGGATGTCATGCATCCCAGTGAAAAGTCCATATGGCCAGATCGAGCCAGAGCGAGCCATGTCTAAGAACTCGCTCACGCCCTATCTGACTCGCCCTCGCTCGAAATTTTGGGCACTTGATCTAACCAAAACGAGTCGCAGCGAGTGTTTTACTCTAGGATAGCTTTGACTCGCTCAGACTCGTTGGGTTTTATGTATTCAGTGGTTTTTATTGTCACTGCTTCCTCTCCTAGGCTCGGACACGCTCGCTTGATTGTATATACAGTTTATTATCAGATAGCTAGACTAGATACATAAAAACTACTGCTGCATGGTATTACCGCACACAACCTTCCTACACCTAGGGCAATCCGCTCTCCACAGAATAGAATACCCAATACCTAGAAGCCACTTGGAGGGAAAAATGAAGAAAAAATGATTTAAAGGCATGACTGAGAGGAAACGTCATCAGAACATACCTTGGATCCTGCCCACTATTAAAACGCGCTAAAGACATGAATATATGCGCCATTTTCTGTGCAGCATAAGTGATTCAACACAGTTTACACACCTAGAAAGACAGAACCCTGGAGAAAGTAGTTCGTTACCGCTGACATGTCACAGACCTCCCGAATCCACCTACTAACATGACCGTCATTCCATAGATAATGTAGGGGTTTGGAACGACTAGCACGCCACGAGTATACAGTGGAAGAGCGCACAAGGCAGAGGCACACGGAAATGTCTCAGGGGGAGAGTGGGGAGATGGTAGTGGTGCGAGTACAAGATGTGCTGGTGCAAATTCACACGCCCTCATCGTCTGATATGGCGTTGGAAACTGACTAACTTCGGAGGACTCTGTAGGGCTCGGACAGGCTATTTGGATGAAGGTGTAACCAAATAATTTAGCTTAGATTACATTTTGTCGGCATATATTTTAGGGAAATCCTATTTAGCTATTTAGTTTGAACAACATATTTCACTTTTTTGGCTTGGCTCGTTCTCGCTCGATTTTTTCACTTTTCTCACGACCCGTCCTCGCTCAGGCTCGTTCCGGACCTAGGCACTTTTCACTGGGTGTCATGGTCGAGCATAAAAAGGTTAGTGAAGAGCGGCAAGAGCAAATGCTTGCTTGCCGTTGATGCCGATATTGAGCTGTATAGTTATTAGTCAGCATCAAGCCACCATGATCGTGTCAACAGCTTTTTTGGTTGAGTTCTGCAAACAATGTCCAACCGTGCCAAGTTCTTTACCCCAAGCTACTCAAGACTGCATCAATACCGCAACTGTAAAATCAAGAACTTCAAGTCTTCAAGCTCCCTCAAAGAACATCAAATTCTTTACAAATCAATCACCCAAGCTACCCAAACCTACGTCAAGATTGATTGCAAAAACTTTTGAATTCTTTCAAGTCTCCAAGTACCCTCCAACGGCGCCAGCAGTGTTTTGCACCTTAAAGGCACTGGCTACTGTTGGATCCCAAACTCGAAACTGCTGCAAACCACTTCAAATTATTTTTCTGTGGAGGTAATACATTGTAGTAGGTCACGGTTTATTGAATAGATAGAGCATGTTTGTAGATATATGACAATAAGTTTATTTTATTCTTGCGCACAGAACAATAGCGGGTGTTTGGAATCAATGCTACGCTTCCCAAATGTTCCTACATCCTCAAGCTCCTATATCCTCCTACCTGCCTCCTACTACCTCCTACTACCTCCGGCTACTTTTGTAGGCCTACAAAATTTTGTGGGAAGTAGGAGCCTGTAGGAGGGGCTTCCTACGGGCTCCTACAACCTTGTGAACTTGCTGATGTATAAGAACTCCATGCACAAAGAAGTAATCCGAGGGAGGCCATCTGTCCACCATTGAACTGCTGTGTAGTCTAGTCTGGCCCGGAAAGGATTAGTTAATAGTGGCCAATAGGTAAGGGTGGGATCAAGGAACCAAACATGACATGAATGGGTAAAACTCACTGCTAACCATAACTAGAAAGTAAGAGACTGTCAACACAGGAGTATCAATTGCAACTTGTGCACGGTGTTAAGTTATGACTGGAGTAGGCGACTAGCTTTCCCGAGTTATACTAAGCTACTATAGTAAAAAAAAACTTGATGTCAAATATAAAGGCTGAGGGTCTAGTCCAGTGATGCTTGAACGCAAGCAGCTTACATGGCCCCAACCAGAGTCTCTCAACCAGTACAAGACAATTCACTCATCCCTGTGGTTGCTGGTGCTTTACCTCCTTCAACTCAGATCCTATTTCTTCTTTGTTCCATCTTGCTACTTTCATTTTCCACAATCCGCTTTCTGTTTCCTTGTGCTACATTAGAAAAACTTGAACATCGCTTAGACGAGATCCATGAATTATTTACAACTGTGGTCTGTGACGGGCTCATTATGAGCCCGAGGGTGTACAGAACAAGGATAATCAAGTAAGTGACATTAATTATTGTCTATACTGCGTGTTTAAACAAATCTCTTATCTCCAGAATCCGGAGCAAAATATCTACATTACGGACACAGACATTGAACACTCGTCCTTCTCTGTCCAAAGAGTACTTGAACTTCCTATGTTGGAAGTTTCAGAGTATTGTTGGGCTATATACTCAAATAGTCAAGTTGCAGTCGGATATTCAGGTGAGAATCTACTAGTCATTATTTACTGTTACACTTATATTTTTTGCTTGCAATCTTATAGGGAGAAACGGAGGAAGAAAAACAAATCCAGTATCATGTCCAGCTTGGGATAGCATATGGCACCACCAAAATTGCTTTGACAGATAATACTTGACTGTTTGACGAGGAAACTACAGTCATCCACCGGCTGGTGACCCAGCCAAATTTGGAAAGCTTATAGGCACTCTGTATCACATTCCCTGTACTTGGTAACTATCACAATAAGTAATATACATATATACTATTGTACTGAAGTATCATAAGCAAGGCAGGGTATGTATAAGAGTAACAAGAGAGTAAAGTAGAAAAAGTAGGTTAACCGAACGGAACCAGCCAATGACCCAGTCATGTCACACCCGGATCAGATCACTAATCAATAGTCCGAGTGAGTCCTAGCGCGTGTCAGCTTCCAAAAGGGGACAGATACATCATTGATGTGACACATGTGCACGCTCCTCCGAGGTCTGAAATTCAGAAACAAGCTGGTTTGGACGCTGCTGTAGGCTTTTGACTCACTTTAGTGTCGGAATCCATGGCCATAGTATATATCATTGCTACAAACAAATTTCAGAAGTTTAATGTATGTATCTACTTCCCTATTCATGAAAAGAAATTCGAAGCATGCTCAATTTTCAACTTATTTTGTTCTACTATATTGTTGTAGCATGAGACTTGACTCCGGCTTCATGTATCTCATGGATGATAGATATTATAACAATACTGGAGCTTCCTGGATGGTCCACGACACAATAATCATGCTGCCGGCTGATTTGGGTCATTGGCCGATGGTGGGTCATTGGCCGGTTGATGACTGTAGTCCTTTACTTATATCAATTTAAATAGGTGCTAAGTACATCAATAGAAAACGATGAGGAAATTAACAGTAAATCCACATATACAACTACACATGATAGAAATAGGTAAATATGACAAGGAATTGACCAAGGCAAAATAAACAAGTACATTAATGAAGCAGTCACTTAACATTTTGTATCTAAGGAATGACCTGCTATACTTTCA